TCCCAAGTGAAAGATGATAGTGGCTTGGACCAAGATGGCCGCACTGGGAGAGGCAGGGAGAGATCGATCATTTTTGAGAGCTGTTTCTAAGTAGACACAACATGTTTTGTGACAGCATGGAGATAAATCATGAGAAAGAGAGGTGTCAAGAAGGCTCAGCCACTGAAAGGCTGGTGTGTTGCCACTTACTGAAATGGAAGAGGCCATGGAATGGTGGGTTTGAGGGTGGGAATCAGGAATTCAATTTGGGCATAATGAATTTGAGATGCCAGTTAGATCCAAGTGAAGTTGGTAGGTGTGTGTGTGTGTGTGTGTGTGTGTGTGTGTGTGTGTGTGTACATACAAGGGTCATCAGCATTCAGGAACTAATTACAGCCTTGAAACTAGATGAAGTCACCAAGAGAAGAGATCGGTCAACGGGAGGATCTGGAACTCTCCAACAGAGCTCAGGAGAACTAGAAAAGGAGCAGGCTATGAGATAAGAGAACCAAAGAGTGATGTTTCAGAAGTCAAACTGAGGGGGGGAAAGTGTTCCAAGTAGGAGTGATCAACTGTCCGGTGTTGCAGGTGGGTCAGTAAGGTGAAGTTTGAGAATTGACTATAGATTTAGCCACATGGAGTCATTAGATTCTTTAACAAGAAGAGTTTTAGTGGAGTACTGGAAATAAAAGCCTGAATTGGGTTTATTCAAGAGAATATGGGAGGAGAGAAATTGGGCACAGTGAAAGTAGACTATTCTTTCAAGATTTGTAATATAGAAGGGACAAAATGGCCATAGCTGTGGGAAGATACAGGGTCAAGATTTGTTCCCCTAAAGCTGGGATATAAATATAGGTATTTATATGACTGATGGTAGTAAGTCAGTAGAGAGTGAAAAATTCAAGAGAAAGAGACAGAACTGCTGGATTAACATCCTTAGCCAAGAAAAGATGAGGGAGGTCCTGTGTACAGAGGAGGGGCTGCCCTGGAGAGGAGTGACAAGTAGATGGAATAGGGAAAGGGGGAAGGATTGGTAGGCATTATTAGGAACCCCCTTTGAAGTTGATGGTCATGAACTTCAGGGAAACCAGTTGGGGGGATTGTGTGCTTTGCTGCCTTGGTGGAGATGCAGGATTGGTAGAGGATTGGGCTGAGGTCTCGCCAGGAGAGTACACTGAGGGGAGAGGCAAGGGAGCTGATGGCACATGCCAGGGAATGAATCCAGTCATGCACCGTGGAACCAGTTTGAGGAGGACAAATGATGTGCTGAGCATGAGACACAGTAAAGAGACTGGAGGGTTGATGGATATTAGGTTCTGATGTGGCTGAAGAATCAACAAAGTTCAGGGTATTGGAAGAAATGCTCTGAAAAGCCAAGAGGTGGCAGAGCGTGGAGAAGCCTGAGATGGTAGAGGGGTTGCTGGTATTAATAATAGGGCCTGGGGCCATGGTTCTCATGTTTCAGTATTGGGAGACATTATTGGTTGCCACAGCAGCAAGGGGAGAAGATGCCACTGACATCTAGTAGAGGCCAGGGGTTATACTAAATATCCTGTAATGCATAGGACAGCCCCTGAGCAGAGAACAATCCAACCCAGTGGTTAGTAGTGCCAAGGTTGAGAAGCCCTGGCCTAGGGTACGTTTGGGAATGGGTGGCTGGGATAGGCCTGAGGTTAATGTAATGGAAGAGAAGATAAACAAAGAGACCAGGGCTTTGAAAGGTTCATTTTAAGACTAATGGGATCTCCAAGACTAGGACAACAGTAGTGCTGGCAAGAAAGAGAGCCAGGGACAAGAGGATGTTAACTAGCTATATATGGAGCATTTTATTTATTTATTTTTTGGAACTGCTGATTGATGAGAGTTGGAATTCGCAATCCTGGCTATAAGAGCTGCATGTCCTAATTAGAGTGACTTTTTTTTTTTTTTTTTTTTTTTAAGCCACTTGTCCGTTAACCAGCTCTGGTATAATTAAGTCTTTCTCAGATAGTCTAAAAGCCATCTAGGGATTTGGTTAGTCTTTTTTGGTCAAAATTTAGTGAACTTGGACACATGGGCTAGTTCCATCTTGAAATAACCTCTCAGGTGTCAGATTTTGCCAGCCAGCCTTGAGGCAGGAATCTGGTTTAAGAAAACCTTTGAGGAGACTTATTTATTGACTTTGCAGACCGGCTTCCCCTCAGTGTCCACCACTGTGGAGAAAACTAGTCAAAATCACACAGTAGGGCAGCCCGGGGGGCTCAGTGGTTTAGCACCGCCTTCCACCCAGGGTGTGATCCTGGGGTCCCGGAATCGAGTCCTGTGTCAGGCTCCCTGCATGGAGCCTGCTTCTCCCTCTGCCTGTGTCTCTGCCTCTCTCTCTCTCCCTCTGTGTCTCTCATGAATAAATACATAAAATCTTTAAAAAAAAAATCACACAGTAAATAAGGGTTATAAGCCAGTGCTGTTTCCTGTAGTTAAGCTAGTCAGATCGCCTGGTCTTGTGCTTTGTCCTTCATTTTGAACTCAGATGCCTTGGGGCTGCTTTTCTGCCTACCCACAATAGCAAGGAACGTCTTTTGTTTGCTTCTTGTTTGAAAGAAGGGCTTGTTTTGAGGTTTGGGCCACAAATAATAATCCATTGTTCTCTATAATAATAATCCACCCTCTTTAGCAGAAAAAAAATCTGCTTGATGCAGTGTGGCTATCAGTTTATTTAAAAGAATAGCCAAAAGTGCCCATTGTGTTCTGAGAATAAACATTTGGAAGATGGTTGGGAGGACTGGGGGAGTACTCTTGTTCTCCTTGGCCTGGAGTCACGGTTAAGACCTCAGGAAGAAAAAATTCTTAATATGATCATCAGTCCCGGGTGACAGTACCCTTCCTTATTCTGCTCATCTGTTACATTCTAAGAATAATTAGAACACTGTAGATCTGGATTCTTTGCAAACTATTTCTTTAAAAAATATCTTATTTGGAAGATAAGCTTCTCTACATTAGCTTTAATTCGTTTCATTTTTAGGCTAAATATTTTTCTTTCTAACTTTCATTGAATCCATAAAAATGTCTTTTGAGTGAAGACTATTTGATTTTATCAGCAATCCTTAAAATTCTTGTAGTTGCCTCTGACTACAGATTTGAAAAAAGGACCTATTTTTATATTCTAAGTGATAGGCATTTTAATGACTATTTCTGGGCTTAGACTAACTGAATAAATTCAATGGGTGAAGTGAAAATGTGAACCAGAGTGGTCAGCTAGTTCTTGAATGCATATGTATCAAGCATGCTGAAATGTAATAGTAGATACGATTTCACTAAGGAAAACAAAATATGTTGTGCATGTTCCTTAAATCCCTTATAGGAAAGGATCAGTTAAATAATAAACATAACTTTAATTTTTTTTAATTATTTATTTCAGAGAAGGAGGAGGGGCAGAGGGAGAAGGAAAGAGAATCTCAAGCAGACTCCCCACTGATCGCAGAGTCCAAGGGTGGAGGCACTCAGTCCCAAGACCTGGAGATCATAACCTGAGCCAAAATCAAGTGTCTGACCCTTAATGACTGAGCCACCCAGGCACCCTTAAACGTGGCTTTACATGAAGTGATACCTCATCTAGCATAATTTTAATTGTAGAGACAGCAGGGTGGCTCAGCGGTTAAGCATCTTCCCCTTCGGCTCGGGGCATAATCCTGGAGTCCTGGGATCGAGTCTCACATCAGGCTTCTTACATGGAGCCTGCTTCTCTCTCTGTCTATGTCTCTGCCTCTCTGTGTGTGTTTCTCATGAATAAATCAATAAAATCTTTAAAAGAGAGAGAGAGAATAGTTTTAATTGCATTAAATACGAAAGATGAGAAAAAGTTCAATGTGATAGCAGTTGAATTTGACAGTAAAATATGAGAACTACTTAAGTGAAGAAATTAGGGCCTCTACATTATTAAAAATAGATCATCAAGGAAACAACCGAGATGTCCCCCTTCAAGGGGTGAATATCCATAAAATGGATATTATTCAGCAATAAAAAGAAATGAACTGTCTTGCTATAAAATGACATGGAGGAAACAAATATTGCTAAGTGATAGAAGCTAATCTGAAAAGGCTACATTTGCTGTATGATTCCAACTACATAATGATCTGGAAAAGGCAAACATAAAGAAACAGTAAAAAGATCAGCGGTTACTGGGGGTTCAGGGGAGGGAGGAGAGGAATGAATAGGTGGAAGGAACGGGGGGATGTTTAGAACAGTGAGATGATTCTGTGTTTTCCTATAATAGTGGAAATACATGTTATTATGCATTGTCAAAACCCATGAAATGTGTAACAGGGAGTGAACCCTAATGTAAATGATGAGCTTTAGTAAAAAATAATGTAACAGTATTGACTCTTCAACTATAACAAAACTGTTACAGTAACAAAAGATGTTACTAATAGGTGAAACAGGGCAGGGGTGGGGGTGGGGGTGGGTGGGGATGAAGGTAATCTATGGGAACCCTCTGCTTCCTGCTCAGTGTTTCTGTAACCCTAAAACTGCTCTAAGAAATAAAGAAATTTAAAAGAAAATTTAAATGAAGAAAACATAACTTTTTTATTGGAGTTCAATTTGCCAACATATACCGTATTACCCAGTGCTCATCCTGTCAAGTGCTCCCCTCAGTGCCTGTCACGCAGTCACCCCAGCCCCCTGCCCACCTCCCTTTCCACTACCCCTTGTTTGTTTCCCAGAGTTAGGAGTCTCTCATGAAGAAAACATAATTTAAAAGAAATAATTTAATTTAAAAGAAAAACATTAGGTATAGCTGAACTGGTGAAAATATCTTCTTACTGAGAAACGAAAACAAAATCCCAGACCGTCAGCAGTTTATCCTGTTTACAAGAGTACCTGGCTGTGAAATATTCTTCCAAAAATGTATAGGACGCAATGGCAACAGATAATCTGTATATATCCCATAACTTTCTCATTATCTCTGTTGTCTTCTCTGATAAATTGCACCATAGTATTTATGCTAAATCCTAAATCTGCTTTCCTTGTTTCTCCCTCTCCAGTGACCACTGATGCGTCAGGCTTGGAGGTGTATACCCCAAAAGAAATCTTCGTGGCAAATGGGACGCAAGGGAAGCTGACATGCAAGTTCAAGTCTACTAACACTACGGGCACATTGACCTCGGTCTCCTGGAGCTTCCAGCCAGAGGGGACCGACACCACTGTGTCGGTAGGAATGCTTGCTTCCTCCTGCTGAGCCTCCCTCTGGGTTCCCAGGGCTCTGTGCTGCTCAGGTGTAATGAGCATCCGTTCTTCTGGTGGTTCACTTCCCAAACAAGTGTGTTGACACATAGATTTTAAGGCCCTTCTCTTGTCCCAAGCTCTCTGGGAAAAATTAAGTTCAGCATTTCTCTCTCTCTCTTTTTTAAAGATTTTATTTATTTATTTGTGAGAGAGAGAGGGAGAGAGGGAAAGTGGAAGCAGGGAGTGGGGCAGTGGGAGAGGGAGAACTGCATGTTGACCATCCTTTATGTATGGGCACGTGCTTTAGCAGTGTTTCATGTTTCAGGGTGTCAGCACTCGGCAGGGATAGTCGGCCACTTTAAGATAGATTCTTTTGCATGATGATGAGTTACATGGTTGACCATCATCTGGATACAGTTCCATTGCATACCTCTGTCACATCACCTCCTCACCTGCACAGGAACAAGTGTGTTCCCCACTACAGATTGAGGAGGGGGAGTGGGAAACCGCTCAAGAGGGTCATGATCTAGCCAAGATCACACCATACAGACTGGACTTGTTCAAACCCTGTTTTGTTGCCCTCTAGTTACTGTTACTTCCCTTATGTATTCTTTATCTCTCAGATGGGAAAATTTGTTAATAATGTTTACTGTCTCTAGGCTTTAGAGATTGATTAAAGCAATGTTTCTCTCTCTCTTTCTTTTTTTTTTTTTTAAGATTTATTTATTTATTCATGAGAGACAGACACAGAGAGAAAGAGAGAGGTAGAGACACAGGCAGAGGGAGAAGCAAGCTCCATGCAGGGAGTTCATGCGGAACTTGATCCCGTACCCCAGGATCATGCTCTGAGCCAAAGGCAGACACCCAACCACTGAGCCACCCGGGCATCCCAAAGCAGTATTTCCCAATCTTTCTATTCATTATCACCTTTTTAAGGAGTCTTTTTGAAACATACTTTCCTAATTTCTGTCCCCTTTCTAGAAATTTTAAGACTACATCTCTGCTTTATGTATAAAGAGGAAGATTTTTTTCTTATTCTTCCGTGCCCTTAGAGCCAGTATTTGCCCCCACTGTGAGAGATGTCACCTCTGTGGAGAATGCATGGTCTAGAAACTTTAGAAGCTGCTGTTCATCTGTGGAAGTTGTTTTTTGTTTTTTGTTTTAAGATTTTACTTATGAGACAGGAAGGCAGAGACACAGGCAGAGGGAGAAGCAGGCTCCATGCAGGGAACCTGACGTGGGACTCTATCCTGGGTCTCCAGGATCACGCCCTGGGCTGAAGGCGGCTCTAAACCGCTGAGCCCTCCGGGCTGCCCAATCTGTGGAAGTTTTGAGTGTCGTCCCCGCCCCCACCCCCACCCCCCCAGAGAGCCTTTGTGCTTAGAATTTCTCCTTGATACCTTCCTGACAGAATAGAGTTGACTACCTGCCCATTATCTCTAGATCATGATGTCTGGGGAGTCTCCTTTGGGAGAACTTGGAGTGTGTATAGATGACTATAGTTCCTGGAATAAAACCAGTTTTATGTTTAGCCTAAGTAGCTTCATTTTCATATGTGATGTCTCATTAAAGCTATATGTTTTCTGTTGAAATAGTCTCCAAAAGAAAATCTCTGTTGCACTGGATTGGAATATATATACCTGTTTTCCTAATTCTTGAGTGGACCTGTGTCCCCCAGGATTTACATTAAAAAAAGGAATAGGCCCTGGGTGTTATGCCTGAGAAGGAAGGAAGGGAGGCAGGCAGGCAGGCAGGCAGTTCACAGAAAATCAAACATCACCAGGAAGACACCCAGTGGTAATAACTTTCTCTCAAATAGTTGGCTGCATTTATGCTCAAAACATTCTTATCAAGTAGGTTGAGGCAAATTTATATACCTAAAGAACATGCTATATTTTTGATTAGCATATTTAGCTAATCAATTTATAGTTAACCCACCAAACTGATTACAGGTAATTCCAGAATGCTTAGCTATTGATATAAGATTTTATACTTGGAAGTGTCAGAACACATTTAATAAGATGAGCAGGATGCTTTGAATGTTTACAGATTTCCAGGAAAATTCAAGTCTGACATACATACCTTAGATGGCTTTTCTGGTCTGTGGAATCAAGGTCCCCATGTCTAAACTGGAACTTGGGGGGGATCCCTGGGTGGCGCAGCGGTTTGGCGCCTGCCTTTCGCCCAGGGCGCGATCCTGGAGACCCGGGATTGAATCCCACATCGGGCTCCCGGTGCATGGAGCCTGCTTCTCCCTCTGCCTGTGTCTCTGCCTCTCTCTCTCTCTCTCTCTCTCTCTGTGACTATCATAAATAAATAAAAAGTTTAAAAAAATAAAAAAATAAACTGGAACTTGGGGCACTTGGGTGGCTCAGCGGTTGAGTGTCTGCCTTTGGCTCAGGGCGTGGTCCTGGGGTCTGAGGATGGAGTCCCACATTGGGATCCTTGTGTGGAGCCTGTTTCTCCCTCTGCCTGTGTCTCTGTGCGTCTCTGTCTCTTATGAATGAATAAAATCTTAAAAAAATAAACTGGAACTCATCTTCTCTCCCCTCTGTTTACCTTCTTTGCTAGTTCTTTTTGGGTAGTTGTGTTTGTCTAAGGATCTGGTTTTAAAATCTTGAGTCTTGTGGGAGTTTTGTGGTCCTGTCCTCCCTATCTGCTCCCATTTCTTTTCCACCCCTTTTCCTACCCCAGGAATTAAGAATGTTTGCTCTTCCTAACAAGCATGTAGGTTATATTACACACAGCGTGTATGATTGATAAATTGTAGTGATAATAATATAATTGTTATTACTAATATTTTCCAGTGATCATTTAGCATCATGGAGGGTGGGTTTAGAGGAGGTTAAGGCCAGTTAAGAGGTCACAGTCCAATATGATTAGAGCATGAAATGAGGTATTATCAGTGGAACTTCAGTAGAGAGAAGAGAGAAACCTAAGAGGTAGAACTGACAGGGTTAGTAGGTTAACTGGGTGGGAAGGAAAGTAGAGGAATCAAGGATTATTCCAGGATTCATGGTTCAGGAGACTGGAGTAATCCACCAGTTGAGATGGGACACACAAGTGGAAGGTGACGTTTACAGGAGAAGGTGACAAACTTGGAGGTGGGGCCATTGAGTTATATAAAGTGAGTAGGCTGGAGTAGGCTGCCGGGTGAGGATTCAGAGCTCAGGGAACCACCACAGATGGAGAGAGGGGTGAGGAGTTACCAAAATATCAATGGTCCTTAAATCAGAGGAATGGACAAGAATGCACAGAGGTTTCGCTGTGCTCAGAGGTTCTGAAAATGTTTGCTTGACCACAGAGCTTGTGGTTGACTAATGCCCATTTCTACCCTGGTCCACTATGACCTCACCTGTGAATTAAAAGAAAGGTGTGAAGCCTCCTGCAAAGCGACTTGGATTGAAGCCAAGTCTCAGGCTAGATCCCCACTGACTAGGCCTTCCCTAGCTTTCAAGGTGCTGGGCTCAAGGTGCTGGGCTTGACCGGGTTTCTTCGAGAAATGAGTTCCTTTGCTAAAAGCAAGTATGAGGAAAGTGAGCTAAAGGCTGAATCTTCGAAGAGAAGCGAGAACATTGGGGTGTCTGGGCTTCCTCTCACATGTGTACCCCTAGGAAACCAATATGTAAGAGGGAAAAAGCCTCTCAGAGTAACTGATCTGTGATAATTAGGCTTTGCTTTCTTCACATCTTTGTATAACTAAATGGTAAGTTTTATGAATTCAGACTGAAACCTTTGGATTCACAGGCTCAATCATGATGTTGTCACTGGCTCTGAAGAGTTAGATAGTCCTGACTTTGACCTTGGATCTACCTATTGTAGTGACCTTGGGCAAATGGCTTCTTTGAGTCTTTTTTTCCTTACGTATGAAAAATGGGCAGTAATCACTACATCAGTGGCATATTGACAAGATTTGAGATGATAGATGAGTTTATCTCTTTAACTGAAAGAGGACTGAATCCTGTGATTTCTAAACTTTGGTCTGGCTTTGATTCCATAGCTTATTTGTCATATGAAGTTGTATTTCTTTCTACATGAAGTCTTTTTGAAAGAACCTTGTGCTGCATGCCTGTTAACAGAGTTTAGAGCATCTGCCCTTGAGAAAAGCTCATACGTTCTTTTTTTTCTAATTGCAGTTTTTCCACTACTCCCAAGGACAAGTATATCCTGGGAATTACCCACCATTTAAGGACAGAATCAGCTGGGCTGGAGACCTCGACAAGAAAGATGCATCAATCAACATAGAGAATATGCAGTTTATACACAATGGCACCTATATTTGTGATGTCAAAAACCCTCCTGACATTGTTGTGCAGCCAGGACACATTAGGCTCTATGTTGTAGAGAAAGGTACTTCCTTGAGTATTTTGGCAAAGGTGACACAGTCCCCTTTATCTCAGGTTTAGTTGGAGAACAGAGTTACATTTCCTATTGTGTTTGCGCTACAGTTAACGCTCCCTGTTTCATGTACCGGTGGCTCCCCAATATATGCCAGAGTTTGGCAGTGGGGGGGCCTGTTTATCCAGCTGGAGTAGCTAGTTTCTTCATTTGTATACCTGGAGCCCACTGATCCAATTTTAGGAGTGTTAATTTTTCAGTATTAATTAGAAGAAGGACCTAGTTCACTATGGTTGGATGGGATGGGCAGTGGAGAATAAGATTAATACTGCTTTGATATTCTCCAAGAGAAAGTTCTAACACTTGCAGTACAGTTTTTTCTTCCCTTTTCTGGAAAATAAGGAGGAAATGCAGCTTCTGGTGTCTCACTTTGAGACAAAGTCTGCTTTGCCAGAGAGCAAATTGAGGTAAATTCACACCCCTGGAATTGCTTTGACTTCAGAGCCTTGAGTGGGAGGGATTGAGTGTATAGAGATCCTTATTAGCTCTGTAGCTTATTCTGTATCGGTTAACATTTGTACAATATCGGTTAGACAGTGGGAGCTCATAATGTGGACAATAAAAGACGAAGTGGTCACTCCTAAAGCACTTGCTTATTAATTTAATAAAATCCCACTTCCTCTCTTGGTAGCAAAGTACCTTAAAACAATTTTGTTCTTTCTCTCTAGAGATCTTGCCCGTGTTTCCAGTTTGGGTGGTGGTGGGTATAGTTACTGCTGTGGTGCTAGGTCTCACTCTGCTCATCAGCATGATCCTGGCTGTCCTCTATAGAAGGAGAAACTCTAAAAGGGATTATACTGGGTAAGAAACACCATTTTGTGGGGGAGGTGGGGTAAAGAATCCAAAAACTTCTATATTTTTTTTGTGCAAAAAGAATGGTGAAGAATTAGGTACTTTCACATCGGGATCGGGGGAGTCTGTCCTTCAGAGGTGTGCTGGTGCAGGCCAGCAGAAATCGGTGACCTGCTGGTGAACATGGGCCGTGCACTACTCCCCACTTCAGAACACCTGCCATGGGTTTGTGCAGTGAACCACGCAGCAATGTGGGCTCTGCGTGACAGTACCATATCATGAAACCACACACGTCACTCTCCCACTAGGATTGTCATTTGAATCTCTTGGTCATAATCTCACAAGGTTCTTCTTTTCAGTTAGGGAAATAGAAAACTCTAGTCACAGAGTTGTGCTAATAAATGACTCCAGCTGATGTGATGATGAGGGCTTTTCCTTTTCATAGTTTTGTAAGCAGTTTTATTGCTTTGATCATTCTCGAATGCATGGCTCGATTCATCCAGACTGGGGTAATAAGAGTTGGACAGCAAAATATACCAGCAATAAAGAAAAGTAGATTTTTCTTCTTGTGTATGGCTTCTCGAAAAACACCTCGGAGCAAAGGGTGTGTCTAACTGAAGAACCTTCTTTCTCCCCCTCTCCAGTGGGACACCTAGCCATGTAAGCTATGTAGAACTCATGGGGTAAGACTTAGCAGAGGCTGGATTCAGGCTGTCACACGAGCCGGGTCCCCTGTGCGCGGGCTCACCTTACCAGCCCTAAAGGACTGTGAGGGGGTTGCTTGCCCCAAACCCCGTTGCTGGTGGATGGTGGGAACCCGGCCTCTGCTGCTCTGTTTTTTTAGGAGTGCTGTGTTTTAGCCAGTTTGAGTGTTCAAATTCAGATCTTGTTTGCTTGGAATGCTTCTTTTCTGCTGACTGTATCTATACCTTTGCATAGTGAGTGCTTTATGATGAAATATAACCCAAGTGTTGGTCTTCAACATGAGAGACTAATCCAGGGTGGTGACATGCCAGTCTGTAGTTCTTGCTTTGGGGTTAATAAAGGAGCAAAAGAGTATGCCTTAGAGTCCTGCATGGCATCGTGAATGCTGCTTTTCTTCTTACTATGATTTTTTTTCCCCTTGCCCTGCTTTTTCCACCTTGGTGTGCCGGGATCAGATCCTGCTTATCTTCTACTTCTTAAGAAAAGCTGACATAGACGACACACTGGGACTGTAACAGGGCTGGGGTCCTCTTCCAATCCCACTAGACACATGGTAACTAATCACATTGCCCGTTGCTGTTAACATTCATGTGTATGTATTCAGCCCATCTCCCTTGTTGACAACTAACCAGCTACCTCTGTGCTAACACAACAGCTATTTTGGTTTGTCCACAAATTTGTCTTATGTTTGCATTGGCAACTTGTTGAGTGTACCATCCCAGTGAAAATGGGCTGTCAGGTTTCTCAGATGTTTTATGATCACCTGAATATATATATATATATATATATATATATATATATATATATATATATATATATATATGTATATACATATATGTATATATATTCCTCACGTAGAATGACTTTGTGTATGTGTGTGTTTTAGTGTTCTTTCATACATGAATTGTTATTGGTGGCTGAGACCCTCTTTGTGTTAGATACTCAGACCATTTTGGTTTGGGATATAGAGCTTAGAGCTTCCTGATTCAGAGAAGACGCAGTTCATAGAACACAGTTTGCTTTAGTCTTAGTTATAATCACACTAGAATGTGAACCTTCCCAAACTCCTAAGATTTTCTTTAAAAATGCGTTAACAAGGATTTAAGCTGACATGTACCATTAGAGAATCCCTAATGAGGTACCTCCTGCCATTCACTTTCCCTTATTTATTTATGAGATAATGTTTATTGTGAAAGATCCCCAGAGCCCTGAAAAAGTTCAGCCTGTGTGATGTGGCATTCCACAGTTTCTTATCATTCATGACTTCCTGGGTTTTCTTTGGTTGTATTAGTAGGGAAACTAAATATGGGGAACTAAGGAATGAAAGGAATGAGTTGAGCCAAGACTACAAGCCTGGATGTGGATCTGTAATTTTTGGAATACATTCAGCAAAGGTTTGCCTTGTTGCTATTACAAAGGCTTAGCTTGCTCCTTTAAACATCCCAGAGGAGGAGTGATAGCAGGGGAAAAACACAGAGCAGCAAAAGGATAAATGAGCATTATAGGCAGAGTCCCATTCAGTAGATAGTGTGATTGCAAAGTGGGGCAAAGAAGTTGCACTACCCAGTTTCTGTACTTACCCTTAAGTAGGTTCATCAACTTCTAAGAAACAGTGTCAGGGATAAGAAATAGTCTCAAGATCTGTGATCATTTTGATACTCATTGTTCTGTTGTGTTTTGTTTTATCTGCTGCTTCACCTTGCCATCACTTGCATTTCTATATTTTTTTCCCATTTATTTTAATTTTTTTTTCTGTTTACATTTGTTCTCCAAATTGCCAACTCATCAGCTGCAGTACATCAGAGAGTGTGTCACCGGTTAAGCAGGCTCCACGGAAGTCCCCCTCCGACACAGAGGGTCTAGTAAAGAGCCTGCCTTCTGGATCCCATCAGGTAACGGCTGATTGCAGTTCTGCCCACCGTACTGTGCTCTGCAGTTTGGTGGTCTGTCACTTTCCTGGTCAGGAAAGAATACTGACCCCTGAGACAGAAAAGAGAGATAACAAGAGGGGAAATTAGAGCTGGCCTAGGAGGACCACAAGAAAATATGGGAGAAGAATCTGACTTGAGGAAAGGTTTCCACCGAAGCAACACTAACAGATGATTTACTAATAATTTGGCTCCTCCAGGCCAATTGAAATTAGGAAATGGCCCCTCAGATGTAATTCCTGAATTGCTTAAAGAAATAGATCTGGTGAACTAGATTCTGTTCTGAGGTGCTCTATAAGATAAGGAATTAGGAAAAGGTTGATATTCTTGGTATTGAAAATAAATTATTTTGTATGAGTTCTTTAGAAGAAATTGAAAGTAAACATTTATCTGAATAATTGGTAGGCTTGATGAACAAGGCATTGATTTCTACTTCTTTTAGAAAGTACAGAAGAGAAATAACTTTTATTTGGAACTTAGCATAGAATCTAGCATGGTGGTTAGTACTATGTTTTGACTATGCTCTTGTGACTATAATTGCAGCATGGCAAAAATTCCATAGCTTAGTACCAATTCTGTCCTTCTGGGGTAGAAAGCAATCTAAGGAATTTGGCCAATTACAGGTTTTCCCTGAGGTGTTTTGGAGGTCAGATGGATTTAAAAGGAAATAAAAGAATAACAGTGTTCTGTGAAAGTAGTACTCAGTCTTATTCCATAACTGTTAATATGTAGTGAGGACCATGAGGCATTGTGATATTAAATCACTAAAAGCATACGCCGAGCGAATCACAGCATTAGGGCTAGAACTCAAGTTCTAGAACTTTCTCTGTTAATATCATAGCGTCAGGGCTCGTGACTAATTCCTAGTCTATCTGTCTCTTTTGGATAACATAGTATAACGCAGATACCTCAATTCACTAATTTGGATTGCAGATGGGAATAGGGTTAAGAATAAAGGTTTGAGAGTTAGGCATAACATTGGAAGAAGGCTTAGAAGATTTTTCTTCTACTTTTGAAGTGCTATGGGAGTTGCTCACCTGTTGAAAACAAACTAGAAAGAAAAAAAAAAAACAACAACAATGGTTTCTGATATTGGAAAGCAGGTTGTGTGGTACTGTGATCCCTGAGAGAAAGGACACAAATAAAAGGAGTCCTGTGATTATCTGAGTTTACTGCCTTGAGGCAGTTTCCAAGGTGCAGTGCTAGGAGGGGAAGCACAAACAAACTCAGTTGTTTGAGGAATTGAGGAAGAGAAGTCAGTATTTGGGGAGGCCAAGGTTTCTAGGATTTATGAGACAAAGTTCCAGAGAAGAAGAAACTACACAGAAAAAAAGAAATATGGAATGGCCAGGCTCCTTTGAGCCTTTTCTGAGTAGATAGAGATTTTTGGATGTATGAGAGAAAACACCTAAAACCAGAGAAAGAACCATCTGAAAAGCAGTAAGTTATATGATATCATGCAGGGCTGGGAATCGTTTGTGTTCCTAAAGGCCAGAGTGCCTCTTAATACACAGAATATTGGTTGCATTCCTCCAAATGATCATGCCCAGTAGTACCGGAATATAGTAGTATTACTATAATAGTAGTACCAGGCTAATGTAGCACCAGAATATGGATACTGTGGACCTGCCATAACAAAGCTTAAAAGGAGGCCTTTAAAGAATCAAACTAAACTGAAAGTATTTTAGCTGCATGCCAGTACAAAATCCAACACTCTTTACAAGAATACAACAAAATCCAGCACCCAACAGTGTAAAATTTTACGATGTCTCACACCAATCAAAAATTACCACACATATGGAGAAGCAGGAAAAAAATATGACCAGGAGAAAAGCCAATCAATAGAAACAAACCCAGAAATGACAGAACAATAGAATTCATAGAACCAGGACTTTTAAACAAGTATGAAAATCTTATAACTAACCTTAATGATGTAAAGGAAACCTTGACATAATGAGAGAAATATAAAAAAAAGACAAAATGGAAAAAACAAACAAACCACCTTGGATGGCATAGACTATACAGAAGAAAAGATCCATAAGCTTGAAGACACAGCAATAGGAACTATCCAGAATAAAGCATGAAGAGGAGGGCAACTAGAGAAAATAGGCAATATCTGGAAAGAGAAGGGAATAAGAAAAAAAAAATAGCCAGAGGCTTTCCATTCTTGGAAACTAATTTTTCTGGTATTATCTTCATGTTTCCAAACAACTTTATTTTATTACTACTTTTGGATACTTCAGTTTTAGATATTAACTACCGACTCCATACTATGGAGAATGAAAATGTACATTTCTTTTTCTCCTGGCCTTTCTTCCCACACACAGTTTGTACACATACACAAACCTCCTCCCAATGAGATTGTATCACTGTATTTAAATATGTTTCAGTATTACGTGTACCTATTTTTTTCCATCATTGTACCACATATATTTGCTTCCTTTTATAATTTTTTTGTTTTTCATGGAGCCAATATTTGCCTTGTTTTTTATTTGCATAGTCTTCTAAGCCTGTATTTATATTCCTTCTTAAAACTCTCCACTTAAACACCTCTGCGCACATGGAAACACATGACGTGTTTTGTTGTTTTTTTTTTTTTTCTTTTTTTTTTGGAGGCACACCTGTTAGGATCTTCTGCATTTGTTGTGCTTTAGGCTGCTGTATAGCAGTCATCTTGGGCCTTCTAGCCCAACAAATGTTATTTACTCATCTCTTATTTAGACTCAGTTCTTCACCTTTTTTAGTTTATTCCCATATTATGGTACATATATCCTCCATAATTTCTTTTTTTTTTTCCTCCATAATTTCTTGAGAGAGGCACAGGAGATAAAAATTCTGAGGCTTTGGTTGATAAGCAAAATGATCCCAACGATGTCCACATCCTAATCCCTGGAACCTGTGAGATATATTGCTTGACCTTTCCCAAGGGATTCTGCAGCTCTGGTAAAGGATCCGAGATGGGGAAATTCTCCTGGATTATCCATGCAGGCCTCGTGTAATCACAAGGGTCCTCATAAGAATGAGGCAGGAGGGTCAGGGCCAGCGATTGAAGATGTTATCCTGCCAGGCCTTGAAGACAGAGGAAGGAATCTTCAGCCAAGGAATACAGGAAGCTTCCATAAGCTGAGAAAAGGAAGCGGACTCTCCTCAGAGCCCCCAGAAGTAACACAGCCCTGCTGGTGTTTGAGGTCCTCCTGAGGGTCCTTCTGACCTCCCCAAATGTAAGAGAACATGTTTGGTTTTAGCACGTCTAAAGTTGTTTTTATTGTCCTTCCTTAAACGTGATGGATAACTCTGTTGGGTAGGATTCCAGGTTAGAAATTGTTCTTCAGTATTTTGAAGCATTGTTGATGTTTCTAGCTTGCATTGTAAAGAAGCAAAGAGGTTGCTCTTTTCTCATTCCTGCTTCTTTGTGTGGTACCCACTTTAAGCCCCTTCTCAGAATCCTTTTTTTTTTTTAAAATATCTTATTTATTTATTCATGATAGACATAGAGAGAGAGAGAAAGAGAGGCAGAGACAGAAGCAGGCTCCATGCCGGGAGCCCGACGCGGGACTCGATCCTGGGACTCCAGGACGGCGCCCTGGGCCAAAGGCAGGCGCTAAACCTCTGAGCCACCCAGAGATCCCCTCAGAATCTTCTTTTATCCCTTGTATTCTAAAATTTCATAAAATTGTGGGTCCTTTTCATTCATTGTGTTTGCTATTCCGTGTGCCCTTTCAATCTGAAAAGTATGTTCCTCAGTTTTAGGATGTTTTCTCCCATTATGCTTTAGAGATTTTCCTCCTATTTTCTATTCTCTCCTTTGGAAATCCCAATAGGAATTGGACCATCTCCTAGATCAGTCCTTTAGTTTTCTTATTTTTTTTGTTTTGCAGTTTTTGTCCTGCTTTCTAATTTATTTATTTATTTACTTACTTACTTATTTGCTCATTCATTCATTCATTCATTCATTCATTCATTTATGGGAGACACAGAGCGAGAGAGAGGCAGAGACACAGGCAGAGGGAGAAGCAGGCTCCATGCAGGGAGCCTGATGTGGGACTCCATCCCGGGTCTCCAGGATCAGGCCCTGGGCTGAAGGCGGTGCTAAACCGCCGAGCCACCTGGGTTGCCCTTTGTCCTGCTTTCTAGAAAATTTCTGTAACATTATTTTCCAACTTTAATGGAATATTAAGTTTCTATTATCTTTTTTTAAATTTTTCAAAAGCTATTTCTTATTCCCTAATTATAACATCTTGTACTTGTTTTTATGAATGCATTGTCTTCTCTCAGCATATCATTTATGTTTTATGTAATTTTTTAAAATTTTATTTATGGGGATCCCTGGGTGGCTCAGCGGTTTAGCACCTACCTTTGGCGAGGGGCATGATCCTGGAGTCCTGGGATTGAGTCCCACATCGGGCTCCCTGCATAGAACCTGCTTCCCCCTCTGCCTCTGTCTCTGCCTCTCTCTCTCTGTGTGTGTGTGTGTGTCTCTCATGAATAAAATCTTAAAAAAAAAATTACCTTTCTCTCATAATTTCTGTCTTATGTTAAAAGCTTTACTCAAATACCCAATGATCTTTGGTTATCTATTGATACTTAAGTCACTCAAATCTGATCAGAAGCTCTTTCTGCAGAGAAGAGCTTCCTGGGTGGGTAGTGGGCTTCACTATATAAAGCACTGACTGTCATCCATTTGGAGACTTAGAAAGTATCCATTGCTGAGAGTCTTTTTCTCTTGGGTTAGTCAATTTCTCTGGAAAGAAATCCCTGCTTGGGAGCTGAGTAGAGGAAGGAGAGGTGAGGGTTCACTGTTTAATAAGCAGACTTGCTCACCCTGTTTTCAGGGCCACCCCCCACCCCCACCCCTTGTCTGCTGTCCCTGAGTCAGAGACTGGCTCACTTCCTGTGAGTAAACCCCAGGGTTCTGCCCAGGCCAGACTTCGAACCCGATGGCATTTTCTAGAGGTTGGTAAGAA